CATGTTGTATGGGGCTGAATGTTGGGCAGCCAAGAATTCCCATACCCAGAAGATGAAAGTGGCAGAAATGAGGATGTTGAGATAGATGTGCGGGCATACTAGGCTGGATAAGATTAGGAAGGTAGAATTTCGGGAGAAGGTGGGTATGGCTCCCATGGACGACAAGATGCGGGAAGCGAGGCTTAGATGGTTCGGGCACGTACGGAGGAGAAGCATAGATGCCCCGGTTAGGGGGTGTGAGACGTTAGCATTGGCAGGTACGAGGGGAGGTAGAGGACGACCTAAGAAGTATTGGGGTGAGGTGATCAGGCAAGACATGACGCGACTTCAGATCTCCGAGGACATGGCTCTGGATAGGGAGGGGTGGAGGTCGAGAATTAGGGTTGTAGGTTAGGGTTTCTGGGGGCGGTGGGTTGTTAGTGGTTTATGTAGTTTCCTCACTATTTTCTATTGTAGTATTGTTGTTTATAGTTATTGCTTTTACATCTATTTTTCTATTTCTTATAATGCTGTTAATATTTTTTATCTTCTATTGATGTCACTGATCTATTGTCTACTGTTTATTTTTCTTCTTCTCGAGCCGAGGGTCTTTCGGAAACAGCCTCTCTACCCCTATGGGATAGGGGTAAGGTCTGCGTACACTCTACCCTCCCCAGACTCCACTTGTAAAATTTTACTGGGTTATTGTTGTTGTTTCCTAATACTCCAACTGAATAGCTAAATATATACATTATTTTTATAGGTTATCAATATTTCCTAATACTCCAAATAAATAATAAAATATATAATAGATTTTATCCAAAAATGAGAACTCCCTTGCTTCTATCTGATTAAGGCCTCATGGTCTCGTATACAAGCCTAAATTTCAAATTGAGTTGGTTACAAATTTCGTCCACCCTTTTTAGCAAAAGTTTCTTTAAGGTCAAATGCATTAAATCTCTATTCACCAAGAATCCAAATTAAGTAGGCTGCTAACCTCACCCATTCTTTGACGTACTATTGTAGTATTTCATGCTCTTCTTGAGAATTAAAACGTAAGTGTCCAGTGTCCTCTTGAATGAGTGTCACGATTCTAATTTTCCACTTTAAAATGTTGTGATATTATTTATTATATTTTTTTTATCATAATTAAAAAAATTACTTTCTCATCTCAAATTTAAATAAGTTTCATCATTCTATATATTTTTTTATTTTTTCTCAATACGTCAGTTGGCTTCATCTCAAGCTTGCTTAATTGTTCAATTCTCTAAATTTATCAATAATATATTGAGTATTATTTACTTATTTTCTTTTATTTCTTAAATTTAGTATTTTATCTATAGTTTATAGCTGAAATAATTTCATAGTTAGTACTAATTTTGATTTTTACGTCGTCCAAACAATATGATCTTTTATTATTTCGTATAAAATGTATCAATATTTTTAATTATTTTCTACATTATATTGAATAAGCAAATAGAATTTTCTTATATTTTATTTTCAATATAAAATTTTGATTTTTATATATTTTACTATGTTGCTTGTAATTGTTTCATTATTATATATCTTTTATTTTGTGTGAACTGATAATGACCTGCTAGACCAAAATAAATAGGGGAATAGAGAAGAATGATTTTTTTAAAAAAGTAATTCAAATTTTTTTTTTCTCAATTCAAATTTATAAGATTTATATCAATTCAAATATTTTTGTATATCAATTCAAATATATAGAAAATCTCGAAATGATATAATCTAATAAGAATAGTAAAGATTGTATATTTTAACTTTCAATTTCAAATACACTCTTAGCATTACAAATTCTCCATACATTAGATATAGATTAGATTTTGTCATAAAATCTAGATAACTTGTACCTTTAAAGTGCGAAATAGTATTTTCTCTATATGACACGTGGCTTGACCTCATGCGTTACTATTATTCTTTTAATATAATATATGAAGTTATATTATGTTACCGTGACTTTTGGTATTGCAGGCGTATCGTGGTTGAGGAGGTCCTGGGAGCTATGTGTAAGATAAGTAGGGGCAGAGCGACCGGACCAGATGAGATTCCGGTGGAATTTTGGAAGTGTGTGGGGAGAGCAGGTTTGGAGTGGTTGACTAGGTTATTTAATGTTATTTTTAAGGCGAAGAGGATACCGGATGAGTGGAGGTGGAGTACGGTGGTTCCATTGTATAAGAACAAAGGTGATATCCAGAGTTGTAACAATTATAGGGGTAACAAATTACTGAGTCATACCATAAAAGTGTGGGAGAGGGTGGTTAAAGCGAGGGTGAGGATGGCAGTGTCTGTATCCGACAACCAGTTCGGGTTCATGCCGGGTCGTTCGACTACATAAGCTATACACCTTGTTAGAAGGTTGATGGAACTGTACAGAGAAAGGAAGAAGGATCTGCACATGGTGTTTAATGATCTAGAGAAAGCGTATGACAAGATTCCTAGAGAAGTTCTCTGGAANATAGTTCTAATTGATGAGTCGCGAGCCAGTGTTAACGAGAGGCTGGAGGTTTAGAGACAGGCTCTTGAGTCTAAGGGTTTCAAGCTGAGCAGGACGAAGACGGAATACCTGGAGTGTAAGTTCAGCGCTGAGCAAGGGGAAGTGGGCGTGGATATGAGGCTTGATTCGCAGGTCATCCCGAGTAGAGGCGGCTTCAAGTACCTTTGTTCGGTTATCCAGAGGGGGGGAGAGATCGGCGAGGATGCACACACCTTATTGGGGTAGGATGAATGAAGTAGAGGTTAGCATCTGGAGTCTTGTGTGACAAGAGAGTGCCACCGATTCTCAAAGGTAAGTTCTATAAAGCGGTGGTTAAACCGGCCATGATGTATGGGGCTGAGTGTTGGCCCGTTAAGAACTCACATATCCAGAAGGTGAAAGTAGCAGAAATGAGGATGTTGCGGTGGATGTGCGGACACACTAGGATAGATAAGATTAGGAATGATGATATTCGGGAGAAGGTGCATGTGGCTCCCATTGATGACAAGATGCAGGAAGCGAGGCTTAGATGGTTCGGACATGTTAAGAGGAGAAGCCCAGATGCTCCGGTACGGAGGTGTGAGCGACTGGTTGTGTAGGGCACGAGAAGAGGTAGAGGGCGGCCTAAGAAGTATTGGGGAGAGGTGATCAGGCAGGATATGACGAG